GAAATTCTAAAAAATAAAGAATTCGAAGAAGAGGATGATGATGATTTTGATGATTATCTTGAAGATGAATTGAATTATAATGAAGAATGGGATGATGCCAGCAGAGGTAATTTATTATTAAAAATTAAATATTCAATTATTCACAATATTTTATATATATTAAAAAATTTATTCATTATTTAATATAAATTTATAAAGATTTCACTAAACAATATAACCGCCTAAAACAACAATTACAATTAAATTCATTTGAATCGAAAACCGCAACAAATATTGTTCAAAAAAGTTCAATTACTTTAAACAATACAAAGAAGACAAGTAAGAGATCACAATTTTCTTTACAACAAGAAGATAAGATGAAATCATTGAACAAATATGCTAATAGAATTCATCTTGGTAAATGATCTCTCTCTCTCTAAAATACATATATTTTTAGGATATTCTTAGGGTTAGTATTATTTATTGTTTAAATTTTTAATTCATAATTTACTGATAAAAAATTTTGGATTATTAATTAATTATAATAGATGATTTATCCCTGAAAAAAATATCAACATCTGTATCAAATGATATTAAAATGAGTAATAAGAAAGCTCAAGGAGACAAGTAAGTTTTATATTTTATATTCAAATTTATATTATGTGTATAATAATTTTTATGTTTATAAATTTTTATAAATTAATAGACAAAAATATAGTGATAAATCAGATCGGGCTACTACAGAACAAGTATTAGATCCACGTACAAGAATTATTTTATTTAAAATGATTAATCGTAATATAATTTATGAGATTACGTCTTTAGCCATTTTTTTTTAATAAAATTTTTTGAAGCGAGAAAACCGATGTGTTATATACAAATAATTTATAATTATGTCATCATTTGATAATGAATTTTTTTCTTTACGAATTTAATTATTGCTCAATATTGCATCATAATTTCGTTTCCTTCATATGAACTCAACTCAATAGGCTAATGTATATCACGCAGTTACCGAAGACGGAACTAGTCGAGCCATAAAAGTTTATAAAACTTCAATTCTTATATTTAAAGATCGTGATCGATATGTTACCGGAGAATTTCGATTTAGACATGGGTATAGCAAACATAATCCACGTAAAATGGTAAAATTATGGGCTGAAAAAGAAATGAGAAATTTGAAAAGATTATGGCAAGCTGGAATACCTTGTCCGGAACCTCTAGTATT